CACAAAAAAGATTTGAAACAATTCTATCATTTTCTTCTATGCATATTAAAATGAGACCAAAAAAACCTCATCTTCATCCTATGCATTTTTTTCTTATAAAGTATTCCATGAAGTGGAGATATATACAAAATAAAAAAACACAACATATTGAATTATTAGAAAGTTATTTTTTTATGAACTTCCAAGTGTTTTTTTTTATAATTCTTTTTATCCTTGAATAGAAGGAAAAAAACAAAAAAACAAAAAAATTTTCCTTTAGTAGTAAACCGAAAGGAAAAATATTTTATTCTTAAAATATTTTGTTATGCATATTTCTTATTTCAATTTAACTAAAGAAAAAAAAATTGCTAGAAAAGGAAAAAGATAGACAACTTCTTATTTCTTCTTGTGTCACCTGGTTTTAGTAAAAGAGCAAGCCTCAATTGGTACTTCAATCCAAGCCATCTTTCTGGGCTTAGGTGCCAATGAACATAAGGTTGAGAGCTGATTACCCATCAGGAGGTGGCGGAGGTCCGTGAACCTGTGTAAGATTCTGGAGGTTCAGTAAAAATCGATGCCTGTTTTATTATTTGTAGTATTGACAGACAAATATAAAGAGTCACACTTATTTCTTAATCTACCTGGTCTCCCTCCTCATAGACTTTCTGTTCTACTCTCATCTGCCTTAATGAGCAATTCTAACTTAAATGTATAGATTCTTTCCCCTCACCATCAACACCCAACATCCATCCATTCATCTGTCCATCTGTCCATCCATCCATCCATCCATCCCTACATACATGCATACATAAAACAATGGCAATTCAAAAAACAAAAAAACCCTGCAAAGCTCAACACAATCCACATGTGCTTAAAATAACATCTTTCTGTCCAATTATTTTTGTTTAATAAGTGAATTTATATCTCACACTTATAAATACATTCATAATGAACCAATCATATATTTTCAAAGTGCTCCTAAATAAAAACTGGAATTTTTAAAATTACTGTGAGCATGAGAAACTAGAACTAAAAATTATCTCCTTCACTCCTCTATGTCACGCAATTGCCAGCATATCCTTGAGTTCTTGATTATAATTTTGTGTATCTACCATTATCTTTCACATTATAAAACAACATTTACTGGACTTTCTTTAGCATTCTTAAGTTAATTGGTTAATAAAATTATAAAGGTTTCAAGTATACAATTCAATAATACATCATCCATTTTTGTTGTGTGTTCACCACCTAAAGTCAAATCTTTCACCATATATTTGACCCCTTTTACCTTTATCTTACTTCCCCCTACCCTTTCCCTCTGGTAACCACTAACTGTTGTCTGTGTCTATGAAATTTTGTTTGTCTTGTTTGCTGTTTTCATTTTATGTCCCACATATAAGTGAAATCGTATGGTTCTCAATTTTCTCCTTCTGACTTTTTTTTGCTTAGCATTATAATCTCAAGATCCATACATGTTGTCACAAATGACAATATTTCATCTTTTCTTATGGCGGAGTAATATTTCATTGTATGTATGTACCATCTCTTCTTTATCCAATCATCTATTGAAAGGCCAATTCTATCATTTGATGTCTTGTTCACTGTGACTAATGATGTAGTGAACATTGGGATACATATATCTTTATGCATAAATGTTTTCAAATTTGGGGAATAGATACTCATAAGAGAGATTGCTAGGTCATATGATAGTTCTATTCTTAATATTTTGACAAACTTTCCATAGTGGTTTGAATTCTTATCAAAAGCACCCTCATACTGGACTTTTGATAAGAATTCATGCCTAAGTGTTTTAATATATATACCAATTTCTCATATTTCTTATGATAATTTTCTTAGACTTTTCTTAGTCAATGATTGGATTTATTATAGGGTATTTTTTTTTCCCCACATTGCTCAATATATATTATTCACTACTAATACATTTATATGTGGCTAAAGCCGTGATCCTAAGGCCATTTATAATAGTAAACAATATAACTATACATATACATGTATAATAGATATACAAATTATACATATATGCATATATAATTATGCATGTATATGTATAATTGATAATGCATAATTTTTCCATAATAAAAAGGCCATGAGAGATCAAATACCAAAACTAGCATATGAATATATCTCTTGGATTTTATCTCATGGGTTTGTTAAAGATATCTTTAAATAATTGAAGGATTAGGGTAAGGAAGATATAATAGCACATTTGTTAGAAAGTAAGACCTTTCCTTCTGGAACAAATTATTTGATAATGTCATTATAATTTTAAAACAAAAGTGTTCCATCTTTTCCAAAAGTCATGGGAGAAAAAATACATACCATATAGTGTATTTTTATTTTTCAAAAGGTGAACAGTGCTGAATAAATCCCATTATAACTAAGAATATAATTTTATGTAAGATGTCGCACACATCCTGAAATGCATGCCATACATCACACTTATCATTGAAGTAGACACATTGCCTTCATGAAATAATAATGATTAGTGAGTAAAGAGCTGGGTGTGAATTATAGAGTTTCTGCTTATTATCTGTGTTGCAACTGGTAAGTCTATTTTCCAGCAATTCTGTTTCCTTACATGTAAAACTGAGAAATACTGTTTGACATTTCTAGTATATTATAAAATTCAATTTATGGTTTAGATCATGGGTCATTTAAACTACAGCCTGTGTCCAAATTCAGCCAGTTTCGTGGTTTGGTATTACCATTTTGTTTTGTTTTGTGTTTTCATTTGTACATCTTGGAAATGATTTTTTAAAATAATATTTTGTGACACTCTAAATTCTATGTAACCCAATTTTGAATAAGTAACATTTTGTTGGAATTCTGCCACGCTCGTGCATTTTTGTATTGTATGTGGCTATTTTTAAGCTACGGTGACAGAATCGAGTAGTGGCAAGGAAGAGTAAGTCCTGCAAAGTCTAAAACGCTTACTGGTGGCTGCGAACAGGAAAGGTTTGTGAGCCTCTGCTTATGATGTCTGCCTCACCTAGTATATATACTGTGGATGCTTTCAAAGTAGGTTCTGGGGCTGTTTCATCTTTATTCATCCGATATTTATCTCAGTGTCTATTGTAACGATCAAATGCGGTAATTAACTGGGAAGTACTCAATAAACTGTCATTTTTTGTAGTCTTGTTAATGGTTCTGATAATTATTTGAAATTATTGAACCAAAACCCTCTCTCACTAATCATTGCTTTCATGGACGAGAGAATTTTTGGAGGCCTTTACTTCACCTGTTTCACTGGAGTGCCTTTCCCCCACAGTCATTTTAATGAATGTTCATCAGCTTTGATGTTTTTGTTTTTATTGTTCTTTTGTTGAATGTGTAATGAAATTCCTAAGACACACATTATTTAGCACACAAATAGATACATCTGTGGGAGAGATATAGAAGTGGAATTCTGATTCAAAGACAAACAAATCTTTAATTTTGGTAGATATAACTAAATCCCCTTCTATAGATGTATTTTGTACCTCTCTCAGTGATGTATAAGATTGATTATTTCTCTATAGCAATGCCCACAGATGGGATTGTAAAACTTGGAATTGTGTAAATATAATCAGTGAAAAATTGCATTTCTGTATACTTTTGATTTACATTTCTCTTATTATGAGTGAAATTTATCATGTTTTTATATTTTAGGGGATATGAATATTTTTTTGCTGACTGACTTTTCTTGGCCCTTGATTTTATATTCTTTTGTTAGTTTCTTTAACTTCTTGATACTAGTAGTTCTTTATATATAGTAGATGCAATAATTCTTTGGCAAAGATATAAATTCCCAAAAGTTTTTTCTTCACAGTTTCCATTCATTTCTTGAATTTAATTATGATTTTTGCTTTATAGAAACTTATTTTAATATAGTAATTCTTAGCAAATAAAGCTATAGTTTTATTTGATTTGGATTCTTCTGAAATTTGAGGATATTAATTCAGAATTAGTGGCAGTAA